ACTGCATTACCAGTTCACATTCAGTTCTCAATGAAAGATATTTACAGCATTTCAGATTATTTCATCTATAGAGTGTATTTATCAGTAGAAATTGATGAAAGCAATGAAATACCTACTCAAAGTTATAGTAGTAGTTGTGTCAACATCACTGGGTACAACACTATGTGACGCAGGTTTGAACCCAGAAGGGACATCAGTTCAGTCGACGTTTCAGATGAACGCCAACAAGCAGGAAACCTAAGTCGAGCAGCGCTTCCACTCGATTACTTCCAACTACCTAACATCTCTTATGATAACACTGTATTAAGCAAAAACCAATAAGTTGACAGAAGAGGCGAGGCAGAGAACACAGAACTTCAAGTGATCGTAGAGGAGACAGAGGTGATGAAAATACCCAACCAACAACAACAACAACAACAACAACAACAAACTCCAATCACCATCAACGAGAGATACTTAAGGGAAGTTGTCTCTTCCACCTATCTAGAAAGCACCGTTTCAAATACAGGCAACACAGGCACAGAAGAGGACATCAAAGACAGGATTGGAAAGACAGCAAAACAGGCCTTCATTAATCCAAAACCAGTGTGGAGATCTTCTGCATTCAACATAAAGCGTGAACAACATCCGGATTTTCATCACCAATTCAGTCAAGTCAGTGCTTCTATATCGTTCAGAGACTTACCGCGCTACGAAAAGCATTTCCAACAAACTACACATATTCATCAACAGCTGCCTACGCTCACTCGGTACTGAAGATCGGATCGTCAGAAAGAATAAGCAACAAACAACTCTGGCAACCAACCAACCAATAACCTATCACCCAACAATTATGCAGAAGAAAGTGGAGATGGATTGGGTATACACTGAGAAGGCCGACTGGTGACATCACACGTCAGGCCAGACACTCGAAGGGAACCCAGATAGGAAACGACGAGTTGGGCATCCGAGGTGGAGGAGATGGTGTGTGAGAAAGAAATGAGAGATTGTAAGCAGTCGTGGAACCAGGTTGAAAAGATTTCAGAGAAGAGAGTGGAATGGAGACATGTTACTGTCGCCATGCGTTCCACTAGGAACCCAAGGGATGCATAATAATAATCATGATAATAACAATGAGCCAACGAATACTTTTCGATCAATCATCCTGACATGTTTGAGCATAGATTAATTATATTTTTGTTAGTTGATAGCTGTGAAATCAAGAAGCAGTAAATCTTTCTACTGGATACTTGATTTTTAATCAGTTAATCACAAATTAGAAACCTTTCCATCTAAGGTGTACGCAAGTGATACCCTTAGCTTCATATAATAATGGCAATTTATCAATGTCAGCCTACTTTAACTGACCTTCATTTTCAAATGATTTAAGCCTTGACAGTCAGTGAGTTAATTATACCTCTACAATCTACAGAGAATAATCAATATACATTGCAGTGACTTATATTTTCAGTAGTTCCTATAAAGAACAACTGGTTGAATCGCTCCAGCTCAAAATGAATGAATCATTTTGTATATCATAAAATACAGATGCAGAGTCTTCTGAACACTTCAAGTGGCAATTTGAGAATGTTTGGGGTCCGTTTCTCACCACAACCACCACCAAATGCAAATTGTTGCTTCAGGATTCGTCTTCAACCGTCCCACGGCTAACAATAGACAATGTAGTGATTGAGTGTGTCAACCATTTCACTTACCTGGGAAGCGAAGTGGGGTCAACCCTGCTCTGGTGGCTCAGTGCATGATGAAATCTCCGCACAAAAGCCGGCACTGACGTTCGCCAACTTACCCCACCTATGGTACCCCCATGATATCCGATTGTCTATCAACGGTCGCGTGTACTTCACACCAGTCCACTCTCTTCTACTCTATGTCTGTGAAACATCTCCACTGAACGTGGAAGACATCAAAAGGCTGGCTTCACGTGTTTCACCACCGTTGTCTGTCTTCACAGTATACGCCGTATTCTGTGGTGTCACCAACTGAGTAACACAGACGTCTACACACGTGTAGAGTTCTAGAGAGTAGAGGTAAATCAGTTGACGAGACCACTAACCTTCATCGACTGAGATGGTTGGCACACATATTACGTATACCTAGTCGCCGATTGCCTCGTCACACAATGTTGGCTGAAGTAGGTTCAGACTGGAAAAAAGCACAAGGTGGCCACACTGAAACATGCCACCAATGTATGAAGTCTTTGACTATTGGTTTCAGCCATGTGGGTTGATGCAGACTAGGTGGTTGGGGTCCTCGGGACAAGAGGAAGCAGTGGTTGCAGACTGACTCTAGGTGATAATATGGCTCGCAACCGATGTCAGTGGTGCAGATGTACAGAGAATGAAGTGACTGATTGAAGTGACTTCAACTCTGAATTACACGGTTTTCCTAATAGGCCATAAATACAAAATGAGGGCAGCTTGTAAAACTCAAAAATTACTAAACCGTAAATAACATTTCTCTTAAAAGAAAAGGGTCAGAACAGGGTTACTTAATACAAATGTTTACCGAAAATTGTTAGTGAAAGAATAAAACAAAACATGACCGTCATTAACCATCAACCAGGTTAGTGTTGTATTAACTAGATATGCGGGCCTATTGTGGCCTAACTCCAGGTTGCAACACATAAATTAATGACAATTCGATTCTACCGAAAAGCACTAATTCGCTTGAGGTTCCAAATATACCCTACCAACTCATCTAGACAGCCAAATACAAATCTATACATCACACTATGCTCCACGCACAGTGTATTCGTAAGGAGTAATAAGACTAGCCAGCAGTTCAAAACTCATATAGTAAGGTGGAGAGTTCGAACCCGTGAACCAGTGATTTGAGATTTAAGCGTTTCAACCAGTGACCTACACAACTTATACAACTATGTTCAACTTAAAACCATAATCATTTACTTTTCAGAAGTTAAAAATTGCAAAATATGATCACTATACTGGATTCAAAGCAATCTCTTTGAAAATAAACAGACAGAAACTTTCTTCATCCTCACCTACATTTCGAAATTGTTGCTGCTACTTGAATGGTAAGGCACATTAATAATCACTAAGATGGTTATCATCTTTAAGAATTACAAAACTATAACATCATTAGTGAAGCTGTTTAGTTGATGATTAACTCCAATTGTAGCATTATAAACGTTGAGGATATTTATTTACTGGTGGTGAGTAACATTCATACAGGCTAACGATACATTCATAGTATGATAAGTACGAACAAACACTATTGCATCCATGACCAGCTGACAAAGAGCTACCATGCCAGAGATTCAGGTGGTCGGTCAACCAATGGGATATGATCTTGATATGTGCATCAGTTATTCGTATTTAAAACAGCGTGATCAGGTTACCTACGCTGCACATTTTCATATAGTTCTGGGGAATAAATTATTCAATGAGAAGTCATGACCAACAGAATTCTTAGAAAAGATCAAAAATATTAACATAGAAAACGATAAATTTATGATATCCTTCGATGTTACAGCACTATACACATTTATCGAACTTCAGTTGGCCAAGGTAACGATATCCCTCCTGATCAATGAAGACAAAAACCTTTCAGAACGCACAAAACTCAAATATTCAAGTCTGATGGAACTCATCAACCTTTGTATGACAACATACTTCCAATTCAACGGCAAGATATACAAACAGATGGAAGGGACTCCAATGGGATCACCGGTACCTGGATTAATAGCAGAAGCAGTGACGCAGAGACTGGAAGCCATTATTCTACCTGTGATCAAACCAAAAACTTGGTTTCGCTATGTAGACAACACTTGTCATCATCAAAAAGGATGATATAGAAAACACCCACAGTTTGATCAACAGCGTTTTCAATGACATCAAATTCACAATGGAGAGAGTCAAACAACCAACTACCATTCCTGGATGTTTTAGTCAATAGGACAAATGACGGAAAGCTGGAAACCCAAGTGTACAGGAAGCCAATACACACTGACCAAATCCTCAACTACAATAGCAATAAGACACAAAGTCAGTTGCGTGCAGACTCTATTCAAAAGAGCGAGAACACACTGCAGCACAACAACTTCATGGAGAAACGAAGAAAATTACGTGATATCCACCCTAAATAAGAACGGCTACCCACGAAACTTTATCAGATGCCTATCCTGTGCATCAACAACTACAAAGTCATCGACAGAAATCAACAAACGCATCATCCTACCATACATGAAGAATATATCAGAAATCATGACAAGATTGCTGAGACCACTTGGAATTGGTGTGGCTCATAAACCAACAAATTCCCTCCAAACACTATTATGCAGACCAAAGGATGCGGTAAGCAAAGAAGACAAACCGAATATCATTTACAAAATCAACTGCAATAACTGTAGTCAGCACTACATTGGACAAAGCGGCCGCCCTCTTCGCCTTCGTCTACATGAGCACCAATTGGCCATTAAACGTCACGACATTTCGTCACTCATTTCAATCCACGTGGATAATTATGGACATGAATTCAATTTCGACAATGTAGAAATTTTGGACAGAGGAAACACAAACAATATCAGAGAATTTCTAGAAGCTTGGCATTCAGGTGAGTCAGCAATCAATAGATGCATAGACCTGATCTATCAACCAATAAGAAAATTGATAAACGATAGAAAGGTCAGAGGTCAAGCAGAGGAACAGCCAAAAGGAAAGTCTATACAATCAATGACACAACAATCGAAGGAAACAACCAATCACAGACCACATCGTCAGAACAAGCTACTAAATCATTCACGGAGAGATATTGACAGCTCACTTCAGACTGAAGTTAGTGCTGATGATGTCGTCTAGCAAGTCGATGAAAGCTTAACGATTAAACAACCCAGCTCAGAGAACACAATGCAACCAAGACAGGAAGACAGTAAACACAAATTGTATGTTTCATTCTCTCTGATAATCCACTCTCCATCACACAGAGAAAGAATGATTTCAACTGTTTTGCATATCAACGCACAGTGAGAACATCAAACTTACTAGAATTAGTAACACTAAACATCCAATGAAGCGTCATGGTTGAATACACAGAATTTATACTACATGTGTATAATAGCCAAATGCCCTTATAAGGCGTAGTTGCTATAAGAAACAGGAAAAACAATGGAGAGACAAAACAAATGTTTCAGTTAAGTTCATCAAACAGAGTGAAATATATGGATGAAAAAAGACAATTACAATGAGAAATGCGAATAGATAAATTATAATCTTTTCCATTGTTGGTAAAATTATTTCTTTGACATGGTAGGTGAGTGTGTGTTGCGTCTCAGTGATGAAAGGAATATCACTGCTGACATGGCACTAATTACTCTCAAGTAACAGACTTGGGAGTGATGTAGCATTTGAGACTTACCGCCTTCAACCCGTATCCAACATAACCTAACACTACCACCTTATTTAGCACGTTAGAATAGACGGTAATTAGACATGCGTAACACATTGCCCTTATCAACTAACTTATGTCTTTTACCTAACACTCTCACCTCTAGGTAGGTTGCTCATTAAGTGATGGTTCCACAACACATGTCTAGTGCTGTAGAGGTATCAGTGGTTGTTAAATGAGTGCCCACCACTGCTTATCCGACCTGTGTTACAAGTGAAGTCTCCAGTGTACTCAAACACCTCACTTCTTCGCATCAAACAAGGTAGATCAGTCTGTAAGCAACAATTAAGGGTAGTTGAAAATGTTATCAGTTCCAACTGATTAGTTCCTTTTTGTTTTCGATTAGTGAACTGTAATAAAATACTAAGGAAAGTTTTTTGAATGCATCTGAATAAGATTAGCGTTCTGGCCATTTTTTGACGTCTTCATATCGACACATTTATTGGTGCACATATACAGGACTGAGTTCGAATTTGATGCAAATAAACAGACAGATTTACTTGTGTATGTGAATGAACTATGGAACACTTGTATGTAACCTCGAGAAGATATGAAGAAGTAATGCTGTAAAAACTCATGACACTAGAGACATTAAACCGCCGATCGAAGTCGCTGTCTAGCAATGAAGTACTTCACCCTATATTGTTAAGAGAGAATTCAAAGCCTCTGGTGTGTTACCATACAAGGAAGGCACCTCAGAAGGATTACGAAGAATTCTCAATAAGGCTGGCTGGGACTAAAGTGGCATTCACACCAAGAAACTTGCTAAGAAACAACAAATTAAGCAAAATAATCTGGTTTACCTAATCCCTTGCAGTGATTATGAGGTTAAATACATAGGTCAAAGTAGTCGACTGACTGGCCAGGGCCGATTAGACTAACAGAGCACAAAATCTCGGCTAAATCAAGATTAGTAGGTCCTAATAAGATAAGAAGTTTAGAAAGAAGCTCGGCTATAGCTCTACAAACAATTGCACACACTAAGGTGGGATGGAGTGACAGTGTTGAAAGCTAACCTAGTTGAGTGGAGGGAGAGATTGATAACCGAGTTTGTGTTTAGCCAATCAACACCACATACATGCAGTAACAGAAATGATTCTGCACCTGTCCCGGACATATGAAAAATTCTACTACCCTTATCACCAAAGAGTAGGAGAGAAAATTAGCAATATATAAAGTCTGTTTCAAAGTTGTGGAGTTACTTGATATGAATATGGACAATAAATGCTACTGTTTCACTATGTGGTATTTCTAATAAACGGACTAAAATAGGATTACAACCCACAACAGTGCCCGAGTTTCACTCTTATATCAATGAAGCCTGATATTTGATCATCAGGTGCTCTGTTGAGAATACTGCATCTCAACTAGTCTCAGTATGTGTTTTGGTGAATTGCATCATGGTACGCATATAATCAAGCATGTAGAGTAATCAGCCCGACCGATAGCTGCTACCTTGACGTGGTGGTCGGGCTTGCATATCACAATGACCCAACGAGCTATGCTGGTGGAACGCTTGTTCCCTCGAGGTCCTACCATACCAGAAAGGTCTGTTGGGTAGTGGTTAGACGAAAAGCAGTTACCGTCATAGTGTAAATTGCTATACTATGATGGGGGTCTGAGGGCGAAGTCGTACTGCTGCTAGCTGGATGGGGTGTGACAGCAGTAAGGTGTTTCCCTTGGATGACCAGCAGTGCCAAGCTGATGCTGCCTTCTCAGTGGAAGGGGGGGTTAGAAAAGGTCGGCCCCAAAAATAACACACTCCACCACGCCCCACGGTCTGCCGGGCCGGCGGTGTTGGTTCACTTGTCGTTTCCTTTCGCTCATCCGGCCCCAAAAATACAAAAATTCAAAATAATCATACTCAAAAGGCTGGGTGTGACAGGCCTCAAGCAGATGTCCGATGGGCTCTGCGGTCACACAAATCTCTTTCAGGTACCTTAAGAAGAAATAGCCTTCCACGGTGTGGGCAGCCGGGAAGTGTCAACCGCCCTCACAACTCTGTCAGCACCCAAGTTTCTTCTGACTGCTATCCTCCTCCTCCATCATTACCTTCTAATCTTCCTTCACGTCTCTTAATTAATGATGCTGCATCATCTTCAATTTCTCCTACCTCTGCAGCCTTCGACAACGATCTGAGTCCACAGAACAGTGTCCCTGGTCTCCTTAAACCACGCTCCAAATTACATATTGGAGCCTTCAATGTCCGCACCCTCCGTCAAATTGGCCAACAGGCTTCGTTGGCAAAGACTCTAGCAACTCGAGGCATGGATGTGTGCTGTGTTTGTGAGACACGCATACAGGACCCAAGTGTGGTTATTCACCTGACCTCTCCTGACCAATCTGGTGAATCTGCAAAATTCACCCTTCGAGTTTCTGGAGATTCGATAGCTAGCTCTCGTGGTCTTGCAGGTGTAGGTATAGCATTAAGCACCAGGGCAGAAAACTCACTACTAGACTGGATCCCAGTTGATAGTCGCCTCTGCGCTATGAGGCTGAACGGCACAGTGAGAACTAAAAGGAATAGTGAGACTCGCCGTTGTCTCTTTGTAATCTCTGCTTACGCACCCACTGACTGTAGTTCGGATGAAGTGAAGGACGAGTTCTACCATAAACTGTCTAACCTCCTCTCGAAAGCCAAACGTTCGGACGTAGTGGTTGTTGCAGGTGACCTCAACGCACAGGTGGGTAGACTGAGTGAGGCAGAAAGGCACTTAGGTGGCACTTTCGGAATCCCAGCTGAACGTACAGATAACGGTGATCGCCTATTACAACTATGCTCAGATAACCGCCTATTTTTAGCCAGCACAAATTTCAGACATAAAGAAAGGCACTGTCTGACCTGGCGTCCACCGAGCTCGACTCAGCGATGGACACAGATAGACCACATTGCTATTAGTCATCGCTGGAGAGGATCGGTGGAAGACTGCCGCTCCTTCTGGAGTACGTGTTTGGACAGCGATCATGCGTTGGTCCGAGCACGTATATGCCTGCGTCTCAATGGACGTAGAAAAAATTTGGCAACAAAACCACTACGAGTTCTGCTGGACAACGAAAACACCAAAGCCGTGTTCAGTGAGAAGTTGGCTAGGCAGTTATCGGAACAAAAGACTGTCACTCATCCAGAAGAAGCTTGGTGCCATCTTCAGTCTACTGTAAAAGCAGCACTGGAGACTGTAGCCGACTCCAAGATAATGGCTAAAAAGAGCCAGTGGATATCAGCAGCTTCTTCCAAACTAATGGATGCACGTGAATGCATCCCTGCAGGCTCTGAGTACAATGAAGAGCGAGCGCAACTTAAAAATAAACTGACGAAAAGTCTGCGCAACGATCGTGAACAGTGGTGGGCAGCAAAGGCTAAAGAGATGGAAAAGGCAGCGGCGATCGGTAACAGTAGACAGTTATTTAGACTTATTAAGGAGACTGGGGGGAAATGGTCAACAACAGTTAGTGAGGTTATAGCGGAGAAGGACGGATCGGCGATTCACTCGCAGGGAAGGCGACTGGGACGATGGGCAGAACACTTTGAGGAACAGTTTAACTGGCCTCCAGCCACCATTGCGCTGCCCGCTATCCAGTCGGACCCTGAATGGGACATAGAGACAGGTCCCCCAACACTAGAAGAAGTTGAGAAAGCGGTAGGTAGCCTGAAACGGGAAGGGCAGCAGGACCAGACGGACTACCTGCTGAGGTATACAAGAATGGTGGTAGAGTTCTCTTAGTCAGGCTAACGGAAGTGTTAGCCAGTATATGGGAATCAAATACGATCCCCTCCGACTGGTCTAAGTCACTGATCATCCCAGTCTTCAAGAAAGGCGAGAAGTCCTCTTGTGATAACCACAGAGGAATCAGCCTGACAAACATAGTGTCTAAGATCCTAAGTTCTATAATTCTCCGACGCCTGAGTGGAGCTCGGGAACAGCAAGCCCGAGAAAACCAGGCAGGCTTTAGACCTGGCCGTGGATGTATCGACCAAATATTCACACTGCGCCAGGTCCTGGAACATAGGCATGCTTACAGACGCCCGACAATAGCTGTATTTCTCGACCTGAAGGCGGCATTTGACTCCGTTGATCGAGAAGTCTTATGGCAGTGTCTGTCACTGAAAGGCGTGCCTAGTAAGTACATCACCTTATTGAAAGCTCTCTACTCGAACACTTGTGGGCATGTTAGAGCCTATGGTGAGTTGTCCAGGGAGCTATACTCATCAAGTGGTGTCCGTCAAGGATGCCCACTATCCCCATTCTTATTTAATTTTATCATAGATATTCTTATGGAGGTTTCCCTCTCGTCACCTAATTACAAAGACGTTGACCGGATCACAGGTGAATTTTCCTTAGATCTAGAATATGCAGATGACATAGTCCTGTTAGGTGAAGACGCTGACAAGATGCAGAGTCTTCTGAACACTTTGAGTGGGAATTTGAGAATGTTTGGGATGCGATTTTCACCACCCAAATGCAAATTTTTGCTCCAGGACTGGTCTTCAGCGGTACCGCGGTTAACAATAGAGAGTGAAGTGGTTGAGTGTGTTGACCACTTCACTTACCTGGGAAGTAGGATCAACTCCGGTGGGTTAGTTGCCGATGAGATTTCTGCACGGATACAAAAGGCTCGATTGGCTTTTGCCAATTTGCGCCACCTATGGCGCCGCCGTGATATTCGTTTGTCTATTAAGGGTCGCGTGTACTGCACAGCA